GGTCTGGACCACTCGTGAATTTTGTTCGTATCAGAAGAAAAACTTAGAATACGAAAAAAATGAATGCCACAAATTCTCCTAAATCACTCGTACGCACAACTTAAGAACAAACCTGTGCGTACGAACGGTTCTTGCATGAGGCCCGTTGTTGGATTTTTTTTTTTTTGTACTGACGTCACTGCATTGCTTTTTTTTTTTTTTAAGATAACTACAGACAGGATAGCCAAGGTGGGGGATCAGGTTACCCAGGTTCTGAGTCCGGAAGGTACCCGGGTGGGGAAAGCAGGGGTCCTGGCAGAGATGGCTTTGACCGAGGTGGAATGATGCATCGTGGGCGTGGAGGCATGGGTCGTGGAATGGGGTATGTATATTTCCTTTAGCTTTTAATCTCATTTTGATTTTTGACTACAGGTGCAGTTGCATTTGAGGTAGGGCTGGGATGATTATTCAAAAAACAATTAAATCGCTCCAAACTAATTACCAAGAGCTTGTAAAAAACTGTTTAACGCATGAAAGTATGTCAGTATATTGGTTTGTTAATTCTAATAAATATGGACATTTTTTAAACGCCAAAACCATAGTGGCTAAAATAATGTAACATTAGTATAGGCATTCTTGTTCAATTTTCTCAGCCCTGCCTCTTTTGATTAAAGGTAAGCATTTTTCATTTTTCTTGCACATTAATATTTGAACAGAGACCTGTGCATAAACATTAGATTGGATAGCTAATATATAAATTATTTCTTTATGGGTAACAACCATTTTTTGAGTAGTTGGGAAGTTGCTTATTTTATGGTTTGTCAGGCAGTGTCCTTTTGTAGCAATATACAAAATTTTACATATCAACTTAACTAAATTAGATTAAGAAATGTACACACACAGGAGTGATTTGCATTTGGATAAATTCATGAAAAAGTTTTTCAGGCTTACAGCTCTGTGTGCTTAACAAGTCTTGCAAACATTACAAACTTAAAGTAATATACTGGGCTGGTACAATATTTTCAGTTCCATCTCAAACACAGTTGTGTTCACAGTCAGTTTGTTTCCTCCTGGCGTTTTTATTTACCACCTCATTGGTATTTTAGGGTGTTGCTGTGGTTTGATGGGATGTCAGATGAATATTTGTTCTTATTTGACTATCAACTGGTGTAAACAAAGTAGTCTCAAACTAAATAAAATCAATAATTGTAGTCAAGTTTGGTTGAACCTCCAAAGATAAACTTCAAGCCCAAAGTGATTGGTGGACCCCTGGGTTTCCTCAGGTTTTTATGCTTTTGGTTTTTAATGTCTACATTGGTTCCAAAAGAAAACAATTTATTGAATTAATAATTTTGTCTAAAGAGGTTTTTCAATCTTAACACTGGGTTTTGCCAGTGATGAAATGTTAACAAAGCAAAACAAACTATGGGGTCAAAATATAATAAAACATTTCATATGTAAATTTCAACATTTTCACTTTAAAAAAATCACTAAATGCTGAAGTTCACTGTCAAATTGGAACAAGACAAACACCCAAACACATTAAGAGGATAAAATCAAAAACATGGGAAAACAAGACTGACTGTGTGTAATGACCTTTAAAACTTGCTCTTAACATTATTTAATGAATTTAAACTTAGCCAGGGGGCTGTTTTTGTAGTTTTGTCAATCCATGGATTTTGGTGGTATTTATTCCAGTCTAAACTCAAAATCCAGTGACCAATTTTCACATTTATTATGCTTGTGTGTTTTAAACAGTTAATGGAAATGTTTTCCCATTTAAACAAAATTAGTAGTTGAAGTTAAAACCTTTTTGTTCTCTATGAAAGTACAGTGTGATCAACTATGGGGAACTGCAAGTTTTACTGCACATTTGTGTTGGTTTAGATATATTACATGTCTTGAGTTATGAGACAAGTGCATTTTTTGAGTCGTTCATTGGAGTTTGTTTTCAGAATAAATTTGAGGCGTAATTTTTCATTTTTACAAGCAGTTTTGGAAACCAATTTTTTAAAACTTCTAAGGTTTGATTTTTGATTTCTGAAAATCTTACATTTTCTGGTCATTAGGCTTATCAAAGCAGAAATTTCTGCAAGTTTTTCTTTTATTCAAGTTTTTATTCATTTAAAGCCAATAATGTACATAAATTCTGTTAGAAGGGCAGTACATAAAACAATGGTGCACATTAATATAAAAATCACTTCTATGTGGGCCTTTTAGCCAACTGATGATTTGCAGAAGTTGCCTTGGTTGGTCGTTGAAAAAAAGTTTCAACCTATCGGTTCAAATAAACTACACATCTAAAAGAAAGGAAAACTGACATTTTACTTACACATACACAAATTATACAAAAACAAGAGACAATACAAGAAGGGGAAGAAAAATATTGTCCAGTTTCAGTTGTTGTAAGACAGTGTACACATTTTTTATTTGAGTCCATGGTTTTACTCAAAGTTGAACTTAACAGTTTTATTAGTGTTGGTAAACAATATAACATAAGCCCTCTAAACAAAATATAATTGTCCAAACATTTTGTACTTTGCTGGTTGAATCTAACTTCTCTCCTTGTTACACTACTTGTACTGTTGGTTTTTGCTCACCACCTCTGGAACAAGGCTATTTAAGAGTCAAATTTATAAATCTGTATAGACCTATCCAAACTTAAAATACTATTTCTAAATGGTGTTATTTAATTGGTGCTTGACCTATAGTTGTCAAAGCTTGTTAAAACAACATAACTAAATAAAAGTATAGGTTTGCTTGGCCACAAACACTTGGATAAGAAAGGTGCAGCTAAAACATAGCTTGCAAATATAATGTGGTAGCCATTATAAGTAGACATGATCTAAGATGAAGACAGGTTTGTAAGTAATGTAAGTAAGAAAACAAGGTGGGTTACAGTTTGCATTTAAGATTAAATTAGTTAAATCAATATTTAAATACTTTTTAGTCATAGCATAGTTTGCCTTTGCACAGGTATTTGTGAAGGGTGGGTGGGGACACTGTCTTTTTGAAATGTTTTAAATTGTTTTGTGACTTGGAATACCAATGTCTGATTTTATTTTGAGCACTTTTTAACATGCTTTGTCACATTTATACCGTACAGGTAACAGTGAGACCCATTTAAAACCATCTTTTCTCTAAAAGTATCTACTCAGTAGAGTCKCCAGCTTAAGCAACATGAAGGAGCTTAAACAAAGATTTGAAGTCTGCCTTTTTTTTCAAGAACTGAGGATGGTGTTTTGTTTTGATTTTATAAGCATGATGGGTATACCAAAATGTTTTTTTTTTTAATTTAACGTATCCTTGGTGAACGTTGTGTATATATATTTTAACTTTTTTCATGAAAAAAATTGTACTTTTTTTTTTTACTAATAATAATTGGTTAATGTAATCACACTGCTCTTGTGAAATTTCAGATGCATTTTATATATTTTTTTACTTGTACAAAAGGCTGTATTCAAAAGTAATGTTAGTCAGGCTTGTCTTAAATACAGGATGTGTGCCGTCAATGCATCTGAAATAGTTCTTTGTACAGATGTTTTGGATTTAAAACATCTTAAAAGACTGTAAAAAATATTAATGTGTTTGAAAATGTGTCCACGACTGCAAACTGTCACTGAAATTGTTCTGAGCTAGCTAACGAATTTCACGTAATAATTATCCACCTCTATGAGATTGTGATTTATATTAATGACTCTAGGGAGATAGTTTTACGTTGCTGTCCGCTTAGTTCGAATGTTTTGATTACTCCCTCAATCAAGCCACTTTGCTCGAGCCGTGGAAGTGGCTGTAAAAGGGAAGCGCCTTCATATCTCCATTTATTCCCCCATAGCAGCGCCGGAGACAGAGGTGGCTTCAGTAAGCCTGGTGGTAAGTTAACGAGTATTACACTGGTTAGTCCTTTCAAAACCTTAAACTTTTTTCATAAATATGCCTTGTGCGTAAATGTTTAACATTGGGGTATACAAAATTTTACACAAACAAACTATTTCTTTTGGGTTTTTTTATGCCTAAGACCATTTGCTCCTGGGTACTCGTATAATTCAACCACTGGTTATGGTTTGACAAGATTTTAGGTGTGTTAATTACAAATCTAAGTGTTGATGCTCTGTCAGATTTGAGCTGAAGCTATTTTATATTTTGGAGGATTTCTCACTGGTCTTAAAGGCTTTTCAAATGACACATTTTCTTTTTGCCAATGGGTCTGAAAGTGTTCAATTCTCAATTCAGTATTACTTTTGGGAATTTTCTGCCACAAAGAACAATTTTTTTTCAACTTCCCAATATGAGTTATTTGTCTAAAAAGGAGTATTTGAATTACAATGTGTAGTATTTCTCAGTTGTGTACTAGATTTCATTTCCAGACACTGACTTCTTTCATTCTGTTTTTTTCATTCGTAACTTGTGAACTGAAGGACCTATGGGCGATGAACGTGAAATGGGTAAGTAAAATTTCACACTGCTGTTTCATACTGTCGGTTCACAAGTCTGTTTCATTTTAATTAATTTTTTTCTAAACATTTTTACCTGTAGGACGTCCAGAAGAGCAGGATGACTCTGAGAACAGCACTATTTACATCACTGGATTGACCGAGAAGGCCAACATAGAAGAAATGTCTGAGTTCTTTAAACATGTCGGCCCAATAAGGGTAGGAATAGTTTAATTTCCAGGATGGCTGCTTGTCAGAATGCACATTAAACACATTAGAACCATGTACTGTGAGGTATTAGTCCAGCTGAAAATACAATTCCCCTTTGTTGTGCTTGAAGATGAATCGTCGACTGGGTCATGCTGCAATCAACATTTACACAGACAAGGACACAGGAAAGCCAAAGGGAGATGCCACTCTGTCTTATGAGGAGCCCATCTGTGCCAAAGCAGCTGTGGAGCATTTTGATGGTATGCTTCACAAATAAATCATTGCACTTAAATCATTACCCATTATGAATATTTTTATAAAATGTATCCAGCATTTAAGACAAGGTGGTTGACTGTTTTTATTAAATTTTTTACTACAGGAAAAGAGTTTCAAGGCCGAAAACTTAAGGTGTCCATGGCTCGCCGAAAACCTATGATGGGGGGAATGAGAGGTGGCATGCCCATGCGTGATGGCATGATGGGTCGTGGAGGTAATCACCTGTACATTTTATTTATATATATATATTATTTTTTTCAGTTGTTTTTTTTTTTTTGTTCAATTTCTACAAAATCCAGTGATACAAATAGCCAAATCTAGTTATCGTGCAAGAAACTCTTTTTAGATGCTTTTAAGTTTTTAGAAAATTTAAATTTCCTTTTCAGGTATGATGGGTCGTGGAGGAGAGCGTGGTGGTTTTGGTCCACGAGGAGGCCCACGTGGAATGAACAGAGGTGGACCAACRGGAGCCAACATGCAGCAGAGAGCTGGAGACTGGGAGTGTCCCAATCCGTATGTAGAATGTTTCTTGTGCTGCACTTATATAAAGGTAATTGTTTGTTTCTTTGGCAATTTTGACGTGTTTGTAATATTTCAGGGGTTGTGGCAACCAGAACTTTGCCTGGAGGATGGAGTGTAACCAGTGCAAAGCTCCCAAACCTGAGGGCTTGGGTGGTGGCCCTCCTTTTCCTCCTGGAGGTGACAGAGGCCGAGGCGGAATGGGAATGCACAGAGGCAGAGGAGGTATGGACCGTGGTGGGCCGGCTGGAGCTGGAGGACCAGGTGGACCCGGAGGTTTCCGTGGAGGTTGGGGAGGTGACCGCGGTGGATTCAGAGGACGTGGTGGAATGGACAGGGGAGGGTTCCGCGGTGCCGGGCGTGGAGGACCACCCATGGACCGAATGGGTGGCAGAGGGGGAAGAGGAATGGGACCACCAGGTGGCAAGATGGATATGAGGTACATTTTGATTCTGCAAAACACCACTGATGGCCAATCAGTGATTTAGCTATTRAGTTTAATTCCCTATTTTTACTGTTTTCAGGGAACATCGCCAGGAGCGTAGAGAGCGACCTTACTGATGGAAAACTTCTGAACTAGTTCCTCCTGAGGGATCGAAGTTTTAAAAGAAGTTTTAATTTATGATTCCATATTTTGATGGTTATAGAACTGCCTTCAAACAAGCTGTGCAGTTGGTCAACTGTTTTTTCTTTTTTAGTTTATATATGTTTATATTGCATTCTGTATTGTGCATGTTTTTTTGTTTTTAAATACGCAGATTAGGTTTGATATATTGTAAAGTGTAGTTTTTCATTGGTTGATGTATTAACCTCCCTTTCCTGTGACTTACAATTAAATGATAGTTGGTAAATAAAATTTTACTCGTTTGATGTTTTGAGTTGTGGGCATTTTTACTCAGCATTATCAAATAAACAGAAAAGACAAATGTTCAAAGTTGACAGATCAAAGTTGTATTTCATCATGTAACCAACCAGTAAGAAATTGGACATTTTAGTTTAGTTCATTTTTTTTAAGGGGTGTTGTCATTTTATTTTTGAATTTCAACGGGCAGTTTTTTTTTTTTTTCACTGTTTAAGAAAAGTTGAAAACATTTTATATTGTTTGTGCTGGTAAATAATGCATATTTGCATGTATGTACAATTATATGCATTTATGTGAATATCTGCAGTTTTCTGCCAGTAGATGGCGGAGGTTGGAAACTGCACTTTTGACTCAGGCAAAAAAAAAAAAGAAAGTATTTTTAAAAGTAGTTATTAGTGTTCAGATTTTAATTTTTTGTGGTTCCACTAAACTCAATGGTAAACACTGAGTGGCAAATATCTCTTGATCACAGACGTTTACTTTCCCCCCACTTTTTGCACTTGTCAGACACATGGCTGTATAATCACCAATGTCCTGTTTTGTTATTCACACACTTAACTTTTCATAAAGGATGTGATTTTCTGCAGTCATAATGTTTAACATTTTAAATAGGTCGACTTGATATTTCTTAACTCGTGTTTAGGGGGTAAACCAAAGTTTGATAGATTTTTTTAAGAAACCCATGTTGGCAGACACCTTAAAAATCTTATTTGTTTCAGTCAGTTGCACATGTAAATGAATGCTAAATGCTCCGTCATACATTCTTTTTACTGAGAGAATCTGATTCATCCAAGCCCCGAAAATGATCTCATCAATCCCACACCCACCCAACGGTCTCCCACTTTTTCTCTGTCCATTTCTGTTCCAAGCTCCCCCTCCTTTCTCCTCCCCACTTAATTTCTCTTTTTAAAGAAAAACAATCCCTCCTCCTTGGCAAAGGCTGTGCTCTAGTCTTAATGACACCAGAAAAGTAAAAACCCATCCAATGACAAAGAAGCCAAATATTTTGTGAATTTCCTTTCAATATTCTAAGTAAATATTGCAGAAAACGACCCATCTCAAAAATAAACAGACAACAGATTCTCAATGTGGCAGAGCTGAAAATATTGAGGTTCTCTTTGGGAGTGAGATAGGAATGCAATCATCAGAGGAACAACACAATGAAAAAATACAGTTTGAGACCAGACTGAACTTGTCCAGAGGAGGGACAGTGGGTATATTGAAGGATGTTAGGGATGCAGCTGCAGCAGGCAAAGAGAAGACTGTGTAGTAAAAGAGGACCGAGTGAGATGAAGGATGACTCTGGACCCCTGAAGAGGGAACAGCTGTAAGAAGAAAGTAGTTTGGTTTGATAGTCACGTATTACTCAGATTTGAGCCCAAATGGGCATAATCTTTGGTTCCACACACATCTCAGTAAAGCAACTGAACTGTAAATGTTTGGCTTTCCATCTGGACAGATGGGTCCTCATAATTGCTGTAAAACTTGACAGGCCTCTTTCTGTATTTGGCGTTACCTTGATAGATTCAAACTACAAACCAGGCAGTACTTTTGCCGGATGATGGAGTTTAACCCCGTTTCCAACTTCCACTGACGTAATCTCTTACAATATACCAACAGTAGTCTTCGGTCCTCTGCATAAGCAGTTTTCTACAGTAAAATGAAGACCAAACTGGATCTATCATGTGCACAGATCATGTGCTCTTGAATTGGCTGCTTTGTRCTGAACTCTGTTAAGACCCTGGATGACTTTATAGCCTACCCCACCTCCTAGTCATTTGGCCTGGACTCAGTTATGACTATAAAACTGGCCTTTCCAGCGTTTTAAACTAACAAAACACAAATTTCAAGGACGAATTWMCTAATTATTCTTGATCAACTCCTGTTTCCACAGTTCAAACCCTGCCTCTTGAGGTCTGTGCTGATTTGGTGAGCATGGGGTTAAGTTTTTCTCTTCAGCCGAGCGTTTATCCCTCATAATGGGATGTGCCACCGAGTCGCTCTGCTGGTTTTAAGCCTCAGCAGGTCAACATATTCAKCTGAAGAGGCGGTGCGACACGGGCTGAGCCTGTCTGCAGGGAAATGAGCTGAGCCGCTCGGCCGCCGTGATTTCACCGCCGAGAAGCCTTCTTGATGGTGACATGTGGAAATCGGTGGCTGATCGGAGCCACGTGTCGTCGTCGCGGGGTGATTTCTATTAGGACCTGCTCGAGTCGGAGTCCAGGACTGAAACGATTTTTCCTCTCGCTCCGGGACCCGGCGGCGATGCGCTCCTTAGAGGAAGCGGGTTTCCGCAGACATCCGGAAAACGCATCCATGCGCCACGGCCGCCCCGCATCCCCATGTTCTCCCGACAGCACAAAGCTCGGATTCAATTAGCTCCCCGYAGAAGAAATGGACGCGATGGGTGCGTCAACGCGGCCCCTGACGGGGCTTCGGAGCTCAGTTGTGCGATGAGACGATCAAGGAATAATCAAGACTTTTACTGCTACATAATCTGACAATATGGCTGATCAGAGCAACATCCAGTCTGCCGCCTCCAAAAGCATCCGGCCCTTTAAATCCAGCGAAGARTACCTGTACGCCATGAAGGAGGATCTGGCCGAATGGCTCAACACCCTGTACGATCTGGAGATCACCGCGGACACCTTCATGGATGCGCTGGAAACGGGCTGCGCCTTGTGTCGGCACGCCAACAACGTGAACCGCACCGCGCAGGAATTCCAGCTGGAGTACCCCGAGGCAGCCCGCTCCATGAAGGTCCCGTCCAAAGACGTCGTCTTCCAGTCGCGCAACGTGGTGTCCGGCTCGTTCTTGGCGCGGGACAACGTTTCCAACTTCATCGCGTGGTGCAGGCAGGAGCTCTGGATCAAGGACGTCCTCATGTTCGAGACCAACGACCTGGTGGAGAGGTGCAACGAGAAGAACTTCGTCCTGTGCCTGCTGGAGGTGGCGCGGCGGGGCTCCAAGTTCGGCATGCTGGCCCCCATGCTGATCCAGCTGGAGGAGGAGATCGAAGAGGAGATCCGGGATCAGGAGAGCCTGCGGATCGACGGGAACGAGCAGAGGTCACCCAGCAGGTGCAATGGTCGGAAGGACAGCTGTCAGAGTGTTGAAGAKGAAGAGGAGGAACCTGAACCAGAGCCACACATCTGGCCGCAGAAGAGAATCTTATTGGACATGAGGAATTTGGATGAGTTGGTAAGTTGCACCCAAACTGAGGCACAAGTGCCATACAATGTTAATTTGATAATGTGATAATAACTGGGAAACTAGTTCCCAGGATTAAGAAGTTTCCCACAGACTTTCTCCTTTTAGCCTTGGCCAGGAGGAAATAACAGCCAGTGTGTTTTGTCTTGTGTCAAAGCAGCTGATAGAAGGCCCAATATTTCCCACATCAAAACACAAATGTGTTAAAAATGACACACTCTTTCCAAAACTATCATATCAATGTTATAAAGAACACTATACAGATCTCCTGCAGTGAGTGCAGCATTCTGGTTTAGCTGCTAAATTCCTGCTCACTCTTGGGGTCAAAGTGTGGGTCACCCCCCCAAATAATTGCATTATTGTTTTCCCTCAAAGGCATGAGCGTTGAGAAGTTACAGCCACAGTCATCTGCATCTGTCATCAGAAATAATCAATTCTTTTAGATGAAAAAGAGCAACCACAACCAAAACTGCCACAATGTGTTTTTATCATTTCCACTTTTCCTATTATAGCTCTCAATTTCTTGGTCTTTATCGTGCTGGACGTACAGATGTGTCAGCAGAACACGTGCTTGTGTGATGAAGGTGATATTTTCATGTAGAGAAGAACAATGCCCACCTGAAAGACAACAGGGAGGGAGGAGGGGAGGCAGAGTGGATGCTGATTGTGTGACCTCTGCAGACAGTAACAAGGGGAGAGCATGAAAAAAGAGGATGGCTTTGTTCTGTTCCAGAGTCTGCTTTTCACACACACTCTCTCATATGACCGATGGACGAGGATTATACAAGCGTACAGCGTTTTGGGGCAGAACGATCACAGGAAGAGCTCCTGATGCACACACGCCTCTTTTTCTTTCACTGATTCATCCCCCCGGCATGCAGACACACACACTGCACCCAGTGTCATGTGTCAYACTCAGATGCACAGATTAGACCGCTTTTGACAGATATTGGAAGGGACTTCATCCTGTCTGAAGAATGAAATCTTCATTCTCCTGAAATATTGCATTTTAGCTGGTCAGTACTAAAACAAAAAATGCATTGAAATAGATGTGGTTTTATGTTCAACTAATACCCATTTTATATGAACTAATACCCGTTTTATATGAACTAATACCCATTTTATATGAACTAATACCCATTTTATATGAACTAATACCTATTTTATATGAACTAATACCTATTTTATATGAACTAATACCTATTTTATATGAACTAATACCCATTTTATATGAACTAATATCCATTTTATATGAACTAATACCTATTTTATATGA